ATATATATATATATATATATATATATATATATATATATAGACCATATCGATGATGTAAAATATTTTTACACGATTAATTTATATCAACTTGTTGCAATAGCTTGGTATAATTAACCAACTTTATTTTCCAGGTTTACAGGTTACTAATGATACTCTATAAGGATGGTGCTAATGTACTCCCAAAATTAATAGCCGATAAAATATATACTTTTTGTATATATGTGTTTTATATACATATAATATATAAATTTTATACTATTTTTAGCTAGCAAATGCAATTAATTTTGGGCGACTGGCCAATTTTGTATTTGCCCATATCTTTTAGATAATCGGATAGTTTAATGATATAATTTACAGCATATGGTATTATATAACTTAAGTTTTTTATTTTTATCAAAATGCTAATTCATATTTAATACCTTTTTAATACGTGAAACAGCTGTAACGGTGAATGGATATGCATGCAAAAGTAATTACACATACGCACCAGAAGATTTTGCGTCAATGGCAATTGCAGAACCAGGAGAACCGAATATATTTGGCACTAAAGTCGGTGTAGCCAACGTTAACAACATGCCTGGCCTTAACACATTGGGAATGTCATGGGCTCGAGTAGACTTTGAACGTGATGGTTTAAACCCTCCACATAGTCACCCACGAGCCACAGAAATAATTTTCGTACTTAAAGGTCAATTAATTGCTGGATTCATCACTACGGACAATGTTTTTGTTGACAAGTTGATCAGAAAGGGTGAAGTCTTTGTTTTCCCAAGAGCTCTCATCCATTTCCAGTTTAATGTTGGCAAAGGTAACGCAAGTATACTTGTGGCATTCGATAGCCAGAATCCTGGTGTTCAGCCTGTAGTTTCCATGTTTATAGCAATACCTAAAATTCCAGATGTGGTTGTGGCTAAGACATACCAAACTAATGTTACGGTAGTTCAAGAGATAAGGAGAAGACTTGGAGTACCTGCAAATGTGACCTTGAATTACCCTCATGATATTATGTAGTGAAATAAAATTGTCGAAATCTGGAAAGAAAGAAAAAAAAAATCTACATCTTATATTCCAGATGATGGTGTGGCTAAGGCATTCCAAACTAGTGGTGAGGAAGTTCGGGCTATAAGGGCAAGTCTTTTACCTAGGAATGTGACCATGGAATATATTCATGCAATTATTATGTAGTCAATTAATATTGTAAGCATAATAAATAAATCATAGGTATGAAATTATTTATATATATGTTGAATTATTTATTACATCTTGTTGTCTCTAGCTACAATGACACGAAGTTCTGTTTACTTTATTTTTATTTGTCTTTTTGGTTTTGATTTCTCAGAACGCATCTTTGGTATCTTAAACAACAAAGTAAGATTTGCCAATGCTTAACATCTTTTTTATCCTTTTGGATTAACAGAATTCTTTGATCAGTAAAAATCAAGTTTAAGCTTAAAAGAAGACCTGTGTAAATATCTTTTGCCATACTTCTAAATATGATTGAATTTCGCAAGTTACTGATTGTTATACATGAATTACTTACTTTAAAAGAAAATCTATGTAGTGTTTTATGAATTATTTATATGGAGATTATTTTTTGTAGTTATACAGCCAACCAGACACTATGGAGTATTATTTAATTTATGCGGAGTTTATGATTCGATTACTTATCCTATACCATTAACCAAACAACCGAAATAGTAAATCAGCCAAAAACTCTGGGCACTGGCAAACTAAACTACTAATAATAATACCCGTAAATGGAAAACAGGAAAGTAAGGAACGTAGAACCCGGTAGAAGCAACTGAATAAACTAGAAATAGACAGAGAATATCATATTTATTAGGCAAAATAGATAATGACCCCATAAAATTTGTCCAAAAAGCATGTTTGAACACTTAAACTAAACGTGCATTTCTTTACCCCCTAAACATATTTGGAGTGAATTATTTTCCCCCATAATAGCTGATGTGGTAAAAAAATAATTTTTTTTAAGCGCGTACATGATAAAAAAATATGAAAAGGTGGGCCCTGTTCCTTTCTAACTTCTCCTTCTTCAACCACTCCCCTTCGTTCTCCTTTTCCCCCTTTCTTCTTCAGGCCTGTTTTTTTTTTTTTTTTTTTTTCTGTCTTCTTCTTCATCTTTTTTTTCTCTAAGTTTTTCTTCAATAAGCATAGTAGAAGATTTTGAATTAATGTGCATATTTGTACTAAACTATAAGACAAAAGAATCAATGTGACCTATTCATATTATGAACCCAACATTTTCACCCAGCTCTGTAAAGGACGAAACAAGAGAATGAAGTCGCATCGCGGATTAGCGCTACACAGAGTGCAATAAATCATTTAACATCTCCGACAATAAAATGTGGCGGTGTCTCAAACATCGGGTGGAAGTGAATTGGGCAAAAATTAAAGGAGCATTTCGGATATGAATTGGAAGGAGAATCGATTAGAGACATATCTGTAGGCTCTGTGATTGTTTTGCTGAAGAAAGAGAAATAGATTGAGATTTTGTTGAATCTAAATTTTATACTCATTTGATTAAAGAGAGAGATGTTGATTATATCATTATTGAAGGATTTAAGTGGTTAATTGGGATTATTAGTGTAAGAATATAAGTAACAAAAAAGAAAAAAGAAAAAGAGTAAAAATTACCAAAGAGTGAAGATTTCTTATGTGGCGCTGACATGCTGCTGACGTGGCACGCGGGTCTGAAGCGCCTTATGTTATGAGATTTTTATTAGTGCTTCGGGGAGGGAGAATATAATACACTCTAAATACATTTAGGGAGGTAAAAAACTCCCGTTTAGTTTAAGTGTTCAATCGAGTTTTCCGGACAAGTTCAGGAGGGACTTCATGTATTTTGCCTATTTATTATTTACGTGATAATCTTCTATCCAGGTTAAAACCAAAGCACGAAACAGAATTTCACTATCAAATATGAGAAAAATAATTTCACACCAAATAAAAAAGGAGAAAACACATAAAAGGAAGTGGACATACAGTGTAAAATTCCCACGAAAACTCCATATTTGTCGCTGCATCATATCTCTCTTAATGAGGTAAGTCTTTGGATGAGGCCCAATATATATTTATGCGCTTCCTGCTCTCATTCGCGAGCTTTATGTAAAGGGGTTGTCAATGGGCCAAGATGAGTTCCTCTCTCTATTTATTATAACAATAGGGACTAAATAAGAAATAGGAATAAGTAGAAGGGAGTAGTATGCAAATACATAGAATAGCAGAAGAGGGTCGGTATATAAAATAGACTGATTGTGTATCGGTGAGTTAGTTAGTTAGTTAAGAAAATCTGATTCTAGAGTATTCGATATGCTCTCATCTCTCAGATTCCTCCATCATTCTTCTCTTTGATTCTCATATGTGAACGTACCGCAATTTGATTGAATGCTATAGTTCATGATTGCATGTGCAGATACAATCGATTTACTACCTTATTTTAGCTCAGTTAATATGGTATCAGAGCAGTGATAACTATGATTTTAACACGTTTTATGCCCATACTTGCCTATGCTTTATGTATGAATTGTCATAAAATAGACCCAGAATGCTTACAAAGTGCGCTTGATTGCAGGTTTGAGCGACAAGATCACAAAAGTCAAAAATCGGCTCGAAACGGAGTGAAACCTGCTCAAGTGTCAGAAATCATTGAAGTGGGGACAAGAGGACCTAGCGCGGACCGCACTGTTTTGCTGCGCGGCCGCGCTAGGAGATTCAGAGAATATACATTTCAAGGGTAACCATGCGCGGTCCGCGCTCCTTTCTACGCGGTCAGCGCTTGTAGAGATTTAGAGGCTTGAAAATTCAAGGCAAAGTCCCACGCGGCCGCGTTCCATTTGTGTGCGGTCCGCGTGGGTGAGATTCAGAGAGGTGTCAAATTGCCAAATTCCTTCCACGCGGTCGCGCTTCATTGTTACGCGGTCCGGGCCCATTAGCCTGCGCGGCCGCGCTACCTTTTTGCGCTGTCCGCGTCCCCAGCTTCAGAAGTGAGTGATCGAGGACCAAGACCCCTACGCGGCCGCGCTGCATTTCTGCACAGTCCGCACCAGCCCCTCAGGGGTATTTTTGTCCAGTTTTTCTAGCCTATTATAAATAGAATATTTTATTATTTTTAGGTAAAGCATTAGATATCAGATAGCAGCTGCACTTGTGAGACTCAAGTTTTAGCCTATTTTGGGCATTTTCATCTTGTTTTATCGTGGATTCTTGTAGATTAACATTCTAGTTAATTAATATGTTGATTTTATCTACTACTTCTTCAATTTCTGTTGCTATTATGTCTAGCTAAACCCATTAGCTAGGGTTGTGGCTCAACCCTAGTGTGGGTAATTATTGGGTGTGATTGTTTAATGCTTGAATGATGTTGGATGTTTGTTATTTGGGTTAATTTTATGATTTAACTAGGATTTGGTGGTTGCAAACACTAAGTCTAGCTTAGTGGGTCTTGACTCTTCTCGAGAAAGAGTGTCTATGACTCCAAAATTAACCCAACAAGGAATTGGGATGGACCCATGAGAATGGTAGTCCCAATTAACGGGTTAAACCTCGAAAGAGTAATTACCCAACTTGAACCCTAAGTTGCTTGGGCTTGTTGGCCTACCCAATTTGTCTTGAGAGAGTCAATTGGGCAAAATCACTCTTTCTACCGAGAGGTGTGAGAGTGAGTGCAATCGTGCAACGGTTATAGCATAAGCCCCATAATTATCATTCTTGTATTAGGAATCTCTACCCGTTAGTTGACCACCTAGGTAAATGCCATGACCCTAGTGTCTTTCTCTATCTTGCATACAACCTAGAATTAATATCTTAGCATAATTTAGTTATAATTAGTAGTTGTTAAATTGTAGTTGATAATCATAAAAACCCAAAAATGATAGAAGATCAATTAGAAGCAAACACGCATTTCTAGGCTAAGCAAATATCCAACTCCCTTTCTAGCTCCCTGTGGAAATTGACCCCGATACCACTATTGGGTAAAAGTATTAGCGCCCACTCTTCCTAAGGTTGAGTCCGCTGCGATCACTTTTTGGCGCCGTTGCCGGGGAGCTTACGGTGTTGACTATTTGTGTAGCTAGTTTTGTGTTTTGCTTCTCTTTCCTTCTTTTTACTAACTTTATTTGTGTTGATCCATCAGGTACACATGGCTCTAAACGGAAATGACCCTCTTGGCAATGCCTTGGCGGGGGAGGAGGTTGAAGATGTTGAGCAAGATGAGCTTCCGGTACCTCAAGTACCACGGAGAGGTAGAAATGCCAATGCTAATGTACATGACAACAATCCTATTCCAGACCCTCCTCCGCCACCGCCAAGAGCGGTCCCAAGAGTTCTTCCTAATCAAGGGTACGCGAGTGCCATCGTTCCTCCCCGAATCCGGGCGGGGAACTTTCAAATCACAAATGTCATGTTGACCTTGCTCGAGCAAAGGGGATATTTTACGGGCGCCTCCGACCAAAATGCATACAAGCACTTGAAGGGGTTCGTAGATACTTGCTGGGGCAGCAAACAAACAAACGTGTCAGAGGATGCGTTGAGATTGAGGCTTTTCCCGTTTTCTCTTCGGGGCAAAGCGTTGGACTGGTTAGAAAGGTTACCAAATCATTCTATCACCACATGGGATGAATTGGCGGACAAATTTATTGCCAAGTTCTTTTCTCCAAGTCATATGGCGGCTCTTCGGGACGAGATTCTAGCCTTTAAGCAAATGCCAACGGAACCATTGCATGAGATCTGGGAGCGATATAGAACAATGGTGAAGGAATGCCCTAACAACGACATGACTGAGGCGATGATCCAACAGACTTTCTATAGGGGCATCAACACCACAAATCAATGCATTGTGAACCAATTGGCCGGTGGGAACTTTATGAAACTTTCTTACCAAGAGGCATGTGATGTACTTGATGAAATGGCGGACACCTCTTCGGCATGGCAAAGCCGAGCGAATGTACCCCAAGGTGACCCCACGGTCATCCATTTGCATAAGGAGTTGAGTGATCATGGCCAAGCTATTGCCGAACTTACAACAACAATGAATCAGTTGGCGAAGGCGCAATTGCAACAAGTACAAAACCCGCGCCAAGTCAATGCAATGGAGAATGTTTCTATGCTAAAAAGGAGGCAAAGAGGGCAACAACAACCTCAAGGTAACGGTGAGCAGTTTGACAACAACAATGATGGTGGTGGTTATTCGAACGAGT